TTCTTTTAAGTCGGAAATGTAGCTTTGGTCCAGACTGATGTGCCCCACACACACCTGAATGTGCTTCTTCCATGGCTAGATTAACTTCTTCCTCACCTAGGCATCTTAGGAGCACTCCTTCAAGAGAGCGTCGATAGAGTGTTCCTTTGTAGTACAGGAAGCGAGGTGCTCGTCGACGTATTTCGGAACGGTGTCTGAGATCATCTGGAAGCTTTCCGTGCTCTAAGTAGTCGATCAGCGGCTGTCTCCACTCTTCAGCATCGACTGGAAGTACTGAGATGACATTTGTATCATCTAGTGACATTTCATTAACGAGCGGAATCACCCATCTTTGGCAAACTGGCACGTATGCAACTTCATCTTTTCCTAGTGTCATACTCGAGGCTAGATTGGCGAGAGCGTCTGCCATTTGATTTTCCTTTCTTGGCACATGTTCTAGTGTCACAGCTTCGAACTTTTGTAGCAGTTGGGTCGCTGGCCGGAAGTATGGGACAAGATCATCTTTCCTCACCTCATATTAAGTTAAGAGTTGATTGATTATGAGCTTGGAATCGCCATATACCTCAAGAGCTGTGATTTCCATGTTGATCGCCATTTGGAGCCCGATGATCAATGTTTGGTACTTAGCAACATTGTTGGAGCATAGCTCATTCAGTTGGAAGGAGTAAGGTAGTATTTGCCTTTGTGGCGACATGAATACTACTCCTGCCCCCGCTCCGTCTGCTCGTACGAATCCGTCGAAGAACATCGTCCATGTTGGGAAGATGTCGATGTAGAACACCTCCTCATCAGGCAAGTAGTGTTTGGTGCTGTTTGCAGTTTCAGCTCGTGCAGGCAAGGAACGTTTGGTGCTGTTTGCAGTTTCAGCTCGTGCAGGCAAGGAGCGTTTGGTGCCGTTTGCAGTTTCAGCTCGTGCAGGTAAGGAGCGTTTTGGTGCCGTTTGCAGTTTCAGCTCGTGCAGGCAATGAGCGTTTGGTGCCGTTTGCAGTTTCAGCTCGTGCAGGCAAGGAGCGTTTGGTGCCGTTTGCAGTTTCAGCTCGTGCAGGCAAGGAGCGTTTTGGTGCCGTTTGCAGTTTCAGCTCGTGCAGGCAAGGAGTGTTTGGTGCCGTTTGCATTTTCAGCTCGTGCAGGCAAGGAGCGTTTGGTGCCGTTTGCAGTTTCAACTCGTGCAGACAAGGAGCTTGTGGACAAGATGGTTGCTGCTTGTCCAATTTCTTCGAAGCGATCTTCGAAAGGCATTCCTCACAATCTTCATAGAAAGGAGCCTTGATCGAGAAATTGAATAAGTCTTCGATGAAGAAGAGATCGCGCATGAACGATCTTTGTGTTGAAATTTTCTTATCTTCAACATTTTCACATTGCTTTGGAGGTTGGCGAAAGCTGCTTTCCCTCCTTTCTGATTGGTGCACTTGTGGAGAAGACATATGTTTCTCGTGCAGTTTCTTCGGAGTGACATGAGTCCATCCTTCAATTTCACTTGACTTGGAGCATGCCCCCAACAGTCGAGGTGAAGACTTTGAGTCGAAAGAGCCAGAAGTGACATCTTTCTTAGGGATTTCATCTTCAGTGCCGTTCTCTTGGGTTTGTTGGCATGAAGATTTGCCAGTGTGGACGATGATGCGCCTCCTTACTTTCAGTGGTCCTTTTGTGTCGACCTCTAGGATTGTTTGGCGCTTCATCCTTGAAGGAATCAAGCTTCGAACGTCGCATTTTTCTGCTAACCCATCGAAAATTTCTTCCTTTGGTGTTGTCTTCCTCTTTCCAAAAGGCTTCTCATTATCTTCAAATCTTTCCGAAGCTGATCGTCGCAGAGGAGAGATAGCTGTGTTGTTTTGTTTCTTAGGCTTTAACAACCTTTCAAAAACAGAGTTTTGGGATGTTGGCGCGTTAAGCCTCTTGAAGACAGAGGTTTGGCCTTGACTACCAATGCGATTAAACACTGAAATTCTGGAGCTTGAATGGCTCATCTTATCGAAGACCGACGTCCGAGGGGCGGGTTTAGGCTCTTTTTGGTCTTGTTCAATGCTCACGCTGATGTGTTGAGTGCTAGCTTTCTTCACTTTGCTTGAAATCTTCATGTGTGTATTTGGTGTGAAGCCAAGTCCAGCTTTGTTGTTGTCAACTCCGTAATCATGCTCCTTCAACTTCTTTTGAGTCTCGGTGAGGTCACGATCTTTGTCATTGACGGTGTTTGAAACCTTCTTTCCAAGATTTGAAGAGGAAGCAAAGTCATGCCTAGCCTTTGACATGAGTTCGTAGGCATTTGGGTTAAAGCCTTCTTCGGTCTTCTTAGTTGGAAGAGAGCTTGGTTTCATTTTGACGCCATGCTGTGCCTCCAGACGGTTGATGAGTCCGACGGTTTGCAAGTTTTTCTCCTCTGCAGTCCGTGTGAGCTTTGTGATTGCTTCATTCATCTGAGCTAGCTGCTCCTCAATTGAAGTTACTCAAGTGGTCATGACTTGCATGGTTGTACTGCCGCTCGAATCAGCGTCGGAGAGTAGGGACTCTGAGTATTTCCTCAGGCTTTCCCCTCTTGATGCCCTTAGCGAGGCTAGGGTGATCACAGGCTCGTGCCTCAGGTGCTTTTGTTCCTTTGACAGAGTTAATGCAGGGGCGGAAGCCGCGGCAAAAAGAGCTCTTGCCTTACTTCGGGTTATGGTGCCCGAAATATCACCACTTGCGGCGATGATGTTCTTGTTCTTTGCTTTGATTGCAGGAACAGCTTTATCCTTTCTTGATGCCATTTGCGTTTTTCGATGATTTGAGGATAGAGATGAGAGGTAGAGATGTCCCACTGGGCGTGCCAAATTTGTGAACACGAAAGATTCCTTGAAACAAGAAACCAGAATAACGTGTACAAAATAATATTTTTGTGTTTATGATTTTTGGGGTTACGATCTCTCTTAAATTTGGTCCTCTGATTCTATCTCCGTAAGATCTAGATTTGTTGATCCAAGGGCCGTCGAGGCTTGATCTTGGATGAACAGTTGTAAGTTTCTTCAAGGGCCTTCGGGGCTTGATCTTGAATGTTGATGGATGAGCGGATCTTCAAGGGCTTTTGGGCTTGATCTTGAAGAACGGTTGGTTTTCTTCAAGGGCCGTCGAGGCTTGATCTTGAATGAACAGTTAGTTTTCTTCAAGGGCTTTTAGGCTTGATCTTGAAGAATAGATGTGTGGATTTGTTTGTTGATCCAAGGACCGTCGGGGCTTGATCTTGGATGAACAGTTGTTGAACGGATCTTCAAGGGGCGTTGGGCTTGATCTTGAAGAATGATTGGATGTGTGGATTTGTTGAGGTTGTTGATCCAAAGGGCCATTGGGGCTTGAGCTTAGGATGAACGGATGAACGGATGAACACTTTCTTCAAGGGCCGTCGGGGCTTGATCTTGAATAATGGTTGTGTGGATTTCTTCAAGGGGCTTTTGGACTTGATCTTGAAGGTTGATGGATGAACACTTTCTTCAAGGGCCGTCGGGGCTTGATCTTGAAAGAAGATTTAACGAAGAACGAAGAGAGCTTTCTTGATCCTTCGGAATTCTTGGGAATTTGGATGGTTGGAAGCTTTGGAGTTTCAAAGCTTCAAGGATTTGGGGAATTCTCTTCTAATTTTGGAGTAGAGAAATGTATTTGTGAATTCCTTGATGCTTGATACCTTGATGGAGAAGCCTATTTATAGGCTTTGAGAATGAATCACCACCACAAAATATTTTTTTCCTTTCCAAGCACCATTGCCTAATTTTCCCACTTAATGCAATATTGAAATTGAAGTGGTGTAACTTATGGCCTAATTTCCCACTTAATACCATTTTAAACTTGAAGTGGTCTAACTTATGGCCTAATTTCCCACTTAACACCATTTTAAACTTGAAATGTGTATGCTTTGTCATTGCCCAAATGAGAAAAACTTGCTTTGATCCGTAATGGATGAAAGTGTGCTTGCCTTGTCATTGCCCAACATGAGAAGAAAAACTTGTTTTGATCCTCAATGGATTGAAATGTACTTGCCTTGTCATTGCCCAAAATGAGAAGAAAAACTTGTTTAATCCTTCAAGGGTATTTCTTCCTATTTTGTTGAGTCACACGCCATGTGTACAATTTGTACAACACATGGCGTATGCCATGTATGCCTTGACACGTCAAAACTTTAATGCATTGGTGAACATTTGTTTTACTGAAATTTCGGTGTCTACAATAGGAATACCATATTAATTTTCAAATCCTACCACCAGTTTGCAAGGTGTGCCGAAAGCTTGTGTCTCACTATGGCTCAGTCTTTGCTTTGTTAATAACTTAGCCGTCAAATCTTTCAACTGCAATGATCAGTTAGAACACGATTAGAGAAAAACCACATACAGAAAAGCATACTACTTTCAAAATGCTCATGGAATCCACAGTCGAAACTTTTCACTTTGCTTCTATCTGCAAGATAGCAAAAGGATATTAATGATGAAGGGATGATAACAAATCTTATTAGAGAATGCACTGTATTCATTAACAAAGTGTTAACCTGATGAAAGTATAAAATATTATGGATTTACACAGCCAAATTCTACACTTGTTAATTCCGAATTTTTTTGTTTTTTGGCATATCGAAACAAAAGTAAAAGGCGTGATCTAATCAATTTGAAAAATCTCAAGAATTCTCTTATTATTACAAAACCAAATTCATTGTCAAGATTAAGAGCAACCGAATAACACAATAACAAAACGGAAAAAAAAAATTATAAATATATTTGTCAAACCTCTTGGGATTCAAGTCGACTGACTCCACAACCATACTAAGTGGTGCCCCAGAATTCTTGCAACTTTAGTAGCCTTGATCATGCATGTATCAGTATAAATACATAAAAGAAGATAAATGCATGTAACAGTGATTGAAGATAATTTTTCGTGTTGCTACATCGCTACATTGAGAGGGGCACCCAAACCTGATATTAAAAAACAAAATATTTAGTATAACGTAAACAATTCAATATGTAGTATCAGTTTTGGATGCATAATTCAAGGCTCTAAAACCCGCAAAATCACAGAAAAAAAATATTGCATCTCATTGTAAAAAAGAAAGAACCGACTTAATCACAGTATAAAAGACATAAATACAAATACAACTTTAACACATGATGATATTTTATATACATAAATTTTTAAAAGGTGATACAAATACCAGAACATATTTATATATATGTACAAACAGTTATCAACATGATTAACAAAAATTTGTAAATTCTAAAGTTTACACTACTTGTCAGTCACTTACCCTTTTTTTTTTTTTTTTTTTTTTTCCAATTTGAGCAAAAGCAAAGTGTAGCTTATATAAATTGTTGTGCCAATAATCTGCAATAGATAACATAGTATAAATAAGTCATACAAAACAACAGCATTGTAATAATCCATTTTTTTTTTATTTAAAGCAATAATTATCAATACGATTAATAAAAATTTATAAATTGTAAACTTAACACTACTTAGTAAATTGGCTAACCTTTTTTTTTTTTTTCAATTTCAGCAAAAGCACTTTGTAGCTTATATAAATTGCTTTGATAATGATCTGTAATGGAAAATGCAGTCACAAATGAGATGCACAAAACAAAAATAGTATTATAATGATCTTTCTTTTTTCATTGAAAGCATTGCATAACTGGGAAAAGAAATGAAAACTTAAAATTAAACTATCAAGAACCAAATGATCTAACACATTTTAGTTCTTCTTAAACTATAACAATACAGTATATCTACCACAAATAATTTGTAAAGAGAACTATTAAAATCTCTTGACCCCAATAAGCATATTTTACATTACAAAAATTCTATGGATAAGGGACTTCTTTATACAACATTGCTATTCCGAATACCTAATCTCACACTTAACCTCAGGAGCTTGCAATTAAATTTTCCAAAGAGTAGGCAATGACATGATGATGGTAATATACTTTCTTATAAAACAAACCATATACAATCTATTTTTCGTCATATTCTAGAAATGAGTAAAATTTTAATTGCCTTCTCAAACAGTATATCTATATTTGGGCAATCTGGGTAATTGAATCGCCTAGAAAATAAGTTCACTAAACAGGATTTCATAAAATAAATAATAATAATAATAATTGAAAAAAATAAGAAGGGTGAAACCGAATCATGAAAAATGAATCATCTCAATCAATTTCCCAACAAAATAAAAGGTTAGGCTAGGAGGAACCCATGTTTTCCTCACCCTCTCTGCCTATTTCGAAAACATTTTTCCTTCTTTCCAACTTCCCCATCTCTGTCTCCCCTCTCTTTCCCATTCAACTCCTTTTTTTCTCTGTTCATATCTTCTTTCCCATCTCTGAAAAACCCACCCTAATTCAATTGAATAAATCGCAGCAAACTCAAATAAAAATTTGAATATTTCAGACCGAAAACGGAAACCAAACGACCGCATAAAAATACGGAAATTGGAGATTGCCCAGATCACGAAAATTGGAGATTACCCAGATGACGAAATTATGAAACAACAGTAACCCAAAAGTTAAAATCGGAAAAAGCTGAAAACTTTGTAAGATTTGATCAGGACAGAGTAATCACAGTTCATACCTTTTTCAAGGGAGAAACAAATAATAGTCACAGCTACTGCAACTGCTTTCTCTAAGTCTGGAGTTTCTAGGAAATTTATACTCTTTTAGCTGGGAAAGCCCCAACAAAGCACCACAACTGATAGTAAAACGAAATCATTAGGGTTTCATCCAAATTAGAAAAAATCCTAAACAATCATTATAAAACACACCTTAGCTAAATAAGATTGATTCTGCAGAGATCTGAAGATAGGCCGCGCCCAAAGGGGTGGAAATCGGCCATAATTCCGGCCACAACCCGAATATCCCAAATGGAAAAAAGGATAAACACTGCGAATAGATTCGCCGGATTGACAAATTTAGCAAACAGACGTTGATAATGGAGACCAGAAATATGCTGGAGAAGGAAAAAAGGGAGTGTGATGCAGCTTGCAAAATAAGAATGGCAAGAGGAGAAGAGATGGAACTCAGACAAACGCAAAAAAGAGAGAAACGAAGGAAGCATCTTCTCTAGAAAACCCGATAGCCACGTACGCGCAACACACATGACTAAGGACAAAATGGCCACTCCACTATACAATCCTACCAAAATCAGAAAACACTGAAGAAAATGAGGGGCAAATCCATCCCCACACTATAGGTAAACAGTGCAACCCAAAACTGGGTTTTAGTATATATATAATTTTGGTATTCTTGCATTCAATTACAGGTTTGGGGCAGATTCGTTGAATTTCTATGAGTTTAGTTTTCCCAATTTTTTGCTGTTTTGTGTGGTTAATTTGTTTATTAGGTCTCAATTATTTAATAAATTATGGGATTTGGATAATTTCAAGTTATATGCTTGTGTTTGTGCGCTCGCATGGAGTTGTAGGATACATATGACCAAAACCCTAATCGGGTTTTTGAATTAATTCAGACTCTGTCTATCTATATGAATAAGAACATCTTGAATCTGATAGGTTTATGGGATATGAAAGGTTTTTCTCACTGAGCAGATTTTGTATTGGTTGTGGCAAATTCAGGCTCAAAAGCTTGTACTTTGTTGTACGTGTGCTGGAGTCGGGGATTTTATTCTGCTTTGATGGGGATTTTTTTAATATTGGATGGATTATGCAATACTGGGGAAAATCATGTTAGTTTGTTGAATGGGTTATCTTGATTCCATTTGTTTTGTTTCCATGATTATAGTTTTGGATTATATCCTGTTGAGATAACACTATATTTAATAAATCATACCCATACAAAGATGCATATTTTGTTTCTTTCTTCTTTTGGCAGTATATGATAAGAGAATTATCGCCGAATGTATTGTGATTTTATTATAATAAAATCCTTATCAGAGATGTCAAACCGTTTGCATAAGCTTTAGTTCAATGCACATGACCTTTGCGTAGTCCATTAATCCCTTTTATTATCAGTTACTCTTGTATTGTTTGTACATTAATTGAAAGATGGAACTTTTAACCCACCCGAGGATAATCTGAAATCTGCTGTCCACCCTGATGGACATTCAATTTGTTTCTTATCAGTCAATGATCATGCCACTGTAATTATAGAGTTTGAAGGTTTTTTAGCATTCATAAAAATAAATGAGCTGTCTGGATAACTTAACAAATGAGCTGTCTGGATCAATCTTATCAGGTAAAATTAATTTGGGGTGTATTGTATGTTCTTGTATTTAATCTTTTTGGTTGCTGTTTGTTCTAATTTGTTTTGTTTTTGCTGATGTAATCTTATCAGGTAAAATTAATTTGGGGTGTATTCTATTGTATATCTGATATAGGATGATACAGATAGGATCCTACATGATCCAAATTCCTTGCTTATTCCTCACTCTAATAGAAAAATACCGGCCTCTTTGGTCTTTTACTTGTATCTCTCACTCTGATCTCTCTCTCTCTCTCTCTCTCTCTCTCTCTCTCTCTCTCTCTCTCTCTCTCTCGCCTGTTTCTCCATCTCTCTCTCCTTCAAATCTCAAGTATTCGCATCAGATATGTTCAAATATTGCACTTTTAGGTTTTCTGAATGCTGTATCATACATTGAGAAATTTGCTTGGTTTTCAATTTGAGCCTTTCACACGGGTTCCGAATTTAGATTCGTGAAGTAGAGATTGGGTTTGTTTGCTAACGATCTAGGGTTTTAATTTTGTAATGATTTTGTGACCTTTGACTCTTTCACTCAGATCGTCTCTTCATATCTTCTGTTGAAATCTATGATTTAGGGTTTCAGGCCTGCGACTTTTTATATTTGAAATTATTTTTTTTGGTACTTCAGTTAATTTTTGTTATAGGTTTTTCTTGTCATTGTATTTCTAATGGAACTGTGCTTATTTTTAGCTTAAATTTTATATTTTACTTTTGAATTTGGGCTATGAGTTTCTAGGTTTACTTTTGGTGTTTCTTAGCCAATTAAAGAATTTAGATTAGTTGAATTCAGTTCCTTACGATATGTTTGGACTAGAGGAGAGTGAGACTTACCCGTGTGTGAGGGATATTGTTGGAAATGGAAGCGAAAGGGATGAAAGGGGGTATTGTCTGATATCTTTTTGGTTGTTGTATCATCCTATATCTGAAAGTGATTATATCCTGTTGAAAAAAGTTATATTGTCCCGTCACTGTAGAAGACCTAACTTGCTGATGTAATAACTCGTATTCCTTTCTTGAACATATTATCTATACATGCATTATATCATGTCCTGTACGGTATGAAGTATGACATTTCCTGGCATAGATGTTTTAGAAGTTAACTACGAATGGAATCAAAGAAACACTTTTCGGGACATTTAAATCCTTAACATGAATTATCATCATATATACAGCATCTGAGAGAGGCTTTTAAGTATGCATGCGCATAGAGCATAGGAAAAGCTCAGCCTTGGAGTTGGTAGGAATTTCTGTGAAAAAATAGTGGTCCTTAACTAGTAACAACTAGATTTTTTTTTTTTTTCCTTCTAATTGTGCAAGTGTCGCAGCTTATTAGAAGTCATAAGGGGGTGATGATTGCACCCAGTTTAAAACCCCTCCTCCTACTTCAACCGCCACTGCTCCAGTAGAAATGGACCCCAAGCCGGTTAATCCGGTTGATCCGATTGGTCCCCGGGTCTCCTAGGCGATGACTAATGTGTATTTAAACTAACCTAAATAATAGATTAATTTAAACCAAATTAAACTTGCAAGCGCACGAATCAATTGTAGTAATATATGCAAATACGAGGTCGATCCCACAGGGATTATTTTATCACCAATTTAATCAATTAATCATGTTAGACTTAATTAAACAAACAAAGGATATATTGAATTGAATAATTGAATAATTGATTAAAACTATAATTAACAAGAAAAAGAAAAGACAATTAACTAAATCAAACACACGACACAAGAAAACCTAAGGTTATGAATCCACCAATAACAATCCTATTTACTTTTCCTAGAGCCCATTACTATCCAATTACCATGTCAATGTTAAAGGTTGTTCTTTCTAAGGTATGAATTAATCTGTGGTTAGGCATCAACTCTTGTATCTCTGCATGATAATTATATCCTATTGGTTAGGCATACAATTAAACACATAAAAACCCATTAAGCGTAGAAGAACATGTCAACCAAGTAGGACTAGCTTGATATTGGTCATCCTCACTAGTTTGTCTACTCTTCTTAATCTTAGTTCCAATAAACCTAATTGATATTGGTCAGCCTCATAGATTTATCTAAATCTCTAGATGCAAAATTCCTAAAGGTGATCAGTCATTAGAAACTCGAACCTAGAATAAAATACCCACAAAGATTAAGAATATAACATGGCATATAATCGAATAATAATTAACAAAGTACTTCGCAAATATTCATGTCATTGCTTCATCATAAACCTTAGAAAGTAACTTAATTACACATAGAAATCAAAATAAAAGAAATATAGAACCCGGAATCCATGGCAAAGCACGTCCCTAAGCTCTTCTTCACAAATTATGGAGATGGTGAATGGTAGTATGGTGTGGTTGTATGGGTTATGCGAGGATGGATGGATGAATGGATGATGATGGATGGATGGATGGATGGATATCTTATAGAGAGCTTAGGGCACTTATTTATACTAGAAAAGCCCTAAAAGGTCTGGGAGAAAGTCTCCTAAAATAAAACAAACTCCTAAACAATTAATGACACAAACTAGGAAAGAATCCTTCTTGGCTTGGGCAACAAGTCATCTGTCTTGCACGCCAGTTTTGGGGCCGATTTATCTTCTGGAAAAATCTGTAAAAATATGGGAAACGTAGCTTTATCTCTTATCTTTCCAAGCATATATTGCACATCACTAGGAAAAATCAGGAAAGCCTCCAAATCTTCATTCTCCCACAGCTGTGCAGTTCTGACGGGAAAACAACTTCTGCGGGATTGATTTGTAAAACTGGAATGAATGGCTTCATGGAAAATTATGAATTTGGACACAACGATCTTCAGCTTCTTAGCTTCCTTCTCCAATTGGTCTTGCATCAAAACTCCTCCAGAAAGTCGAATTATCACCAGAAACGTCCTAAGTGTGTAGATTGGCTGAAACTGAGTAAAGGAAAGTAATAAGGTTCTTTTATAATCAATTCCTTAACAAATCTTAGGGATAATTAATATGAAAATATGATAAATAATGCACCTATCAAATACCCCCAAACTTAGCTTTTGCTAGTCCTCGAGCAAAACAAAAAAAATAAAAGACAACAATGAAACAATAGACCTTCCATAAATTAGCCTCAAAGCGATCTAGAGACGGTCACCAAAGCTTCCGCTTCAAATCCTCTACCATGAATATCACTCACAGAGAAATCACACATTAAAGGGCAAAGTGTTTCACTCAAATCATGATATGCAATACAAAACCCATAAGCTTGCTCTTCATATCAACTATCCACTAATATAAATCAATGCAACACCAAAGATCAAAGGTCTTTACAAGGGTTGTAACGATAGGCTAGGGTATGAGCTATCAAAGAAAGGATAGGGAAAAACTAAAGCTTAAGAAATACCAAGATATCTTCATAATGTAATTCAATTGATCCTCTTTTGAAACTTGGGTCTTCTATTATTGGCGTCCAGGACTCATGTCGTAAGGATGGAACAATTTCGAACTCTTCTTTTCTAATTCTTTTTTTTTTTTTCTCTCTTTTCTTCTCTTTTTTTTTTTTTTTTTTTTTAAGAAGAATAAAAATAATACTATACATGGTACCTTGGTACACGCCACATCTTTGATGTAGAACCCAACCTTTATCTTCATTGACGTCCACTTGATATCTCCTAAGCTATAGGGTATGGCTAATATAGGTTAAATAGGTAAGGATGAATATGGGTAATGAAAGAAAAGGCTATGTGTTTGGCTTCAAAAGGGTAACTAGGTATAATATAACATAAAAGGTTGGTTAGAAAGGCTCAAATGATCCAAACATGGCCTTAATCATCTCTACTGTTGCATGACTTAGGATTTCACCTCGAGAGATATTGAAGCAAG